GGAGGCTGTACGGAGACCGGGGAGAGGCAGGGAGGCTGTAAGGAGGCTGGGGAGAGGCAGGGAGGCTGTACGGAGGCCGGGGGGAGGCAGGGAAGCTCTAAGGAGACTGGAGAGAGACAGGGAGGCTGTAAGGAGACTGGGGAAGAGACAGGGAGTTGAGGAGACTGGTTGATGAGAAAATATTGATGTCCAAAGGGACCTGGGTGTCCTTTAACACCAGTCACTGAAAGCTAGTACACAGATGCAGCAAAAAGTGAGGAAGACAAATGATAGATTGGCCTTCATTATAAGAAGGATTGACCACAGGAGTAAAGATATATTGCTGCAGCTGTATAGGGCCCCAGTGAGACCACATATGGAGTAAAGCATAACGTTTCAGTCTGCTTACCTTGGAAAAGGTACACCTGCCACAGGAGGAGCAAAGGTTCACACGAGATGGCAGGTTTGTCCCAAAAGGCGATACGGATTAACTGCATTCCCTGGACTTTGGAAGAATGTAACAGGATCTCGTTGAAACATGTGGAACAGTGACAGGGCTGCACAGACTGGATATAAGGGAGGATGTTCCTCCTGAGCCAGAAGAAGGGGTAACTGTCTCAGGATGCAGTGTAGTCCATTTCAGACTGAAATGAGGAAAATCAGAGAGTGGCGACCTTGAGGAATTCTCTACCACAGAATGCTGTGCGGACCAAACTGCTTACGAAAGAACACATCGATATGGGGAGAGGGCAGGAGAATGGCTTTGAGATAGTGGGTTAGGCACAGTCATGTCGAATGATGTGCTGAATGGTGAACTGCTGCCCCTATTTTCCACGTTTTGACGTGGGGAGACATCAGGGAATGGGGGGAGTGCGGTTTTGGGAGGGAGGGAGGGAGGGGAAGTGCTCGATGTGGGGAGAGCAGGCTGCAAAGTTGGAGAAACCGAAAGGGGCTGCACAGGGGAAACGGAACTACGTTGTAGTTTAGGGAGCAGCTTCTGCCGCTCAAATGTCCAAACATTGCCGTCAGGAGGAGAGCCCTCAAGAAAGAAGGGATTTGATGCCCAGGTCTGCCTCTTCCCTGGCAGGTTTTGTAGGTAGTGACTGACATTGGGCTATTCGACTGTTGAGGCATTTGCACCTAAAGCTCACACCTGACCACTTTCCAACTGCCAGTTCTAACTGAGCTCCCAAGCCCAGAAGTACTGATGGCTTTGTCTGAAATCAAGTGCAGCAGGTTTTATACAAAATACACACATGGGGCACAATGCACTCCAGATGTACAGTTCTATAGGTGCTACAGAAATGAAAATATCTAATCTTTCAGTCATTACCGAAAAGTGAAGAGCGTTCCCATGTCTAACATGGACAATAACTCCGCTTTAGATTTCGGGAAGGACAGACGATAGCGGAGAGTTTCAAATGCTGGCACTATCAGAGCCTTCTTTGTGTTGGCCATATCCAGCTGCAGAACTGATTTCCTGCGAGAAAAGATCACAAACACACGGAATTAACAGAACCGCAAACAATTCTGAGGATGCAATGCTCACCAGGGCACCGCGTGAACGACAAGGGAGAGGAGACAGACAGAGGGGCAATAGGGAATAGAGGAAGCATGGGGAGAGAGGGCACTGAAGGGGTATGGCGGAAGAGATTGTGTGAGAGAGAGAGAAGCAGAGTAAAGAGATGGGGAGAAATGCATACAGGGCGTAAGGGGGAGATAAGGACAGTGAGGGCTATGAGGGACAAAGGGAGCATGTGGAAGACAGGGTGACAGAGGCAGTGTGGGGCAGTGAGGGAGACAGAGAGAATGTGGGGGAAGAGTGGGAGACAGAGGGAGTGTAGGGGGGAGAGGGAGTAGGAAGGAGTGTAGGGGATAAGAGGGAGACAGAGGGAGTGTAGGGGGTAAGAGGGAGACAGAGGGAGTGTAGGGGGAAGAGGGAGTCACATGGACACTGGGAGAAGGATAAGGGAGTGTGGGGAAGACAGGAAATAGATGGAGTGGGGAGGAGAAACTGAGACAGAGGAAGTGTAGGGAAGAGAGGGAGATAGAGGAAGTGTAGGGGGGAGAGGGAGACAGAGGGAGTGTAGGGGGAGAGGGAGACACATGGAGAATGGGAGAAGGATAAGGGAGTGTGGGGGTGAGGGGAAACAGAGGGAGTGGGGAGGAGGGAGGGAGATGGGCAGGAAGGGAAGAGAGGGAGATAGAGAGGGTGTAGGAGAGAGAGAGACAGGAACAATGGAGTGGAGAGGAATAAGAGTGAGTGTAGACAAGAAGCTGTGAGAGTAGAGGAGAGGGGACAAAAGAGAAGTTAAGAGAAGTGTAAGTGAGAGCAGCAGCAGTAAGGCATTGCAAAGTAGTGGGAGAGAGACTGAATGTTAGAATCATCTGTGGGGTCTTTAAAGTTTCAGGGAGACTTGAAATTTATCTTGAAAGAACTGCAGGCTAATTCAACACATTCTGTAACTAATCTTCCATCCACCACTTCCATAAAACATTTTTCAAAAAGGGAGGAAAGATGCCAAAAAAAAATCGACAATGTATTATTGATGATTTTCCCAGCAGTTGCGATACCAGCACATTCCTGTAGGTGATGCTGCTGGTCCATTGAACAGCACCACGCCTCAGAGAATGTGCTCTCCTTGTATGGAGAGAGCTCTTGTGGCAGTGTCCTTACCTCTGAGTCAGGGGGCCCGGGTTCACATCCCACCTGTCACAACTTTATACTTCATATTGGTGAATGAGGATCAGATTAAATTAAAATGCCACAGCTTTTCGAAAAGACTTTCTTGGTTTACCTTTACAGAAAGCAACGTTGGAAGGTCAAAGTCTGGAGGGTGTCACCAGGGGGGTTTAAAGTAGTTTGTCAGTTAGCAAGAAGTATGAGCAGGTAAGGGGGAGGAAGTGGGCGACAATGACTAGTTGGATGTTTAAATCCCTCTGAGGAAGGGTGGAACTGAGAGAGGGAGAAAGGTGCGAGAAAGAACAAGTTATAAGCTGGACCCAGTCAAATGAAACAGTCAGTAGGCAGGTCTGATGCCATTCCTTTGGTGTGGATGTGAGCCTACACCACAAACTGAAAAACCAGCAGCGGATGGACTGCATTAACCTGCCCTCCTCTCTCCTGTCAGTTACCCCCACCTGCCCCCGATAAGTACTTACTGAGCTATTCTCAATAAGCTCATTAGTTCTGCAGTCCATCTTAGCAAAGATACACTGCAGAATTGCTAAAAAGGATCTATAAGAGCAGAGAGATTCTACTTGTAAGAAGAGAATGATCAGGTCATTGTTTGTCTCTGTAGATTAAACAGATATGGCCTGATAAAGGTCTTTGTAATAATCAGAATGTTTGATATGGAGAAACAATGTTTCCACTTTTAGGGGAAGACCAGAACTAACTGCCAGAAAGATATGGCAGTCACTAAGAATCCTAGTAGGGAATCAGAAAAGACCTCTTTAGCCAGAGAGTGACCAGAAGGTGAGATTTACCAACACATTAAGTTTTTGAGGTGACTAGCGTTTAAAGAGAAGCTAGATAACACATTGGCATAGGAGGAGGAGTAGGTTGGGTAAGATGAAGTGGGCTAGGAGGAGAATTGCTTACATTATAAACACTTGCATGAACCAGTTGGCTTAATTCTATTGCTGCAAACCATCTACAGTTATGAACTGATAGAACTGCGGATGCGGTAGGTCAGAGACAAAAACAGAAACTGCTGGAAAAGCTCAGCAGGTCTGGCAGCGTCTGTGGAGAGAATTCAGGGTTAATGCTTGGGGTCGAGTGACCCCTCGACGGAACGGGCCGTCCTGAGGAAGGGTCACGCAACCCGAAATGTTAACTCTGATTTCTCTCCACAGATGCCGCCACACCTGCTGAGCTTTTCCAGCAGTTTCCAATTGCAACGACAGTTATAATAGGACTGCCACACTGTTCAGCCCATTCTTCAGGCAGTGTGGTGACAACTGTAACCCTACCACAGGCGTAAACACTCAACCTTCAGCTCATTACCTCAGGTACTCATAGAGACCATACATAGGGAGGAAGTCAATGTCGGACAGGAACATGTAGGGTGTGTTAACATGTTTCATGGCGATGTTCCGCAGCAGGTTGACAGGATAGAACTGTCCTTCCTTGTAGACGATGTGGTAACCAACGTTGCTCCTGCTCATCAGAACCTCAGATCCCTGGGCGTAACGGAGGAACTGTTGGGCCTCAGCATCGGACAGGTAGAGGGCAAGGCTAATGGGGCCCTCCCAGTGCTTGCAGATAGCCTCCAACATCTGCAGCCTGAAGAAAGAGCAACATTCATTAGCAGCAAGCAGTTGCAAATGGGCAACACAATGAGAGATGTCAGGATCAACACAAGAAGTTGTACAACTGCATTAAGTGAGCCAAAGATCCTTTAAAATACATTTGTATTTGCAATATAACCCATATAAAGAAATGGCTTGTTAAATAATTATTAAATATCATTCTTCACCACAGGGAAAGCAGATCATATTGCCAGCATTCTTTCAAAATCAGTAATGAAATTTCTAAAATTAGTGGAAGCAAGAATACAGTTTAGAAAAAAATAGTGGGAGTAAAGATGGACAAATCGCCAAGACCCGTAAGTTCCCACTCCAGGGTTTTGAATAAAAAGTGGGTGAAAAACTTTTAGAACCTTTAGCAGTAATCATCTATCTCTCTCTCAATGTCTCGTCATTCAGGATAAGGCACTGCAGGTTGGAAAATTGCAAATGTAATTCCATTACATTGAAGAAATGTGAGAGGGAGAAACCAGGAAATTATAGACCAGTTAGTCTCGCATCTGTTATTGGGATCTATAAATAAAGACAGAGTGACTGAGCACTTAAAGAAATTTGAGCTGATTAGAGAGATGGATTTGTAATGGCCAAGTCATGGCCAATGAATCTAATTGAATTTTCTGAGCAAGCAACTGCGGCATGCAAAGTAGTTTATAATACGTTTCCATAAGGCATTTGATAAGGTTCCACACAAAAGGCTGCGAGCTAATGGAATTGAATTTGGATTATTAATCTGATTAGGCAATTGGTTTAGTGATAAAGAATAGGGAATGGGTATGATACTTGAAATCAAAGGAAAAGACTAATGGTGTCCCAAAAAGATCTGTGTCCAGGCCTCAGTTATTTACCATAGTTACTTATAACAGTTTGTAGCCATATCCCCAAGTTTGCCAATGACACAATGGTAGGTGTTATGTTAAAGCGTGGAACACAAGATTATAAACAGACAGTGACAGATTGAGCGGACAAAACCATGATAGTTAACTTTCAACACAAACTAGTGTGAGGTCACCATTTTAGGCCCAGAGAAAAGATCAGTCCAGGTGTTATATATAAGACGAAAAGTTAGAAACAGTGGACGTGCAAAGGAATTTAGATTTCCACATATTCAGGTCACTAAATTTATTTGTCTGGTACAAAACAAAACCAAATGGCAAGTTAATTGTTAGCCTTTAAATCTAAAAGGTTAGAACATAATGGGAACAAATGTTTCAATAGCTATACGAAACTCTACAAATCAGGAGGACTGTACAATTCTGGGCACTGGATATATTGTCCTTGAAAGGAATAGAGGGCAGGTTTGTCAGGGTACCACCATGCTCAGAGGGTTAGGTAATGAATCAATTCTCCTAGATTCCTAAACGTCCTCTCAGCATCCCCCGGTCAAGCTCCATCAGAATTATTCATGTTTCAATAAGATTGACTCTCGTTCCTCTAAACTCTGATGGATATAGGGCCAACCTTCCCCTGCTCAGCCTTCCCTTGTGTGACAGCAACCAGGAAACAGCAAACTTTCTCTGACCTGTTGATATTTCCAGCACTACTACTTCTCCTCATAAATAGATAATACTTTTTCACGGGCCAATTCGTTGTGGCGCTCTTAAATCAGGCAGGGTGGGATTACAGTTTGTACCGAGCACAGTTCAGAAACTGGGCTAAAGGTCACTGAGCAGGAGCAGCATTCATATTCCCCCAGGGCTGAGTGCTGTAAAAACACTACTGCACAAACCCATGCTCACAAAAAACCCCGCCCGCTCTAAGTGGTGAGGTTGTGGTCCTTTGTACTCGCAATCCTATCAGCATAGGAACATAAGAACTAGGAGCAGGAGTAGGCCATCTGGCCCCTTGAGCCTGCCCTGCCATTTAATAAGATCATGGCTGATCTTTGAGACTCAGCTCCACTTACCCGCCCACTCACCATAACCCTTAATTCCTTTACTGTTCAAAAATTTATCCAGCCTTGCCTTAAACACATTCAGCGAGGTAGCTTCAACCGCTTCACTGGGCAGGGAATTCCACAGATTCACAATCCTTTGGGTGAAGAAGTTCCTCTGACCTCAGTCCTACATCTGCTTCCCTTTATTTTGAGGCGATGCCCTCTAGTCCTAGTTTCACCAGCTAGCGGAAACAACCTCCCTGCCCCCACTTTATCTATTCCCTTCATAATCTTATATGTTTCTATAAGATCTCCCCTCATTCTTCTGAATTCCAATGAGTATAATCCCAGTCTACTCAGTCTCTCCTCATAATCCAACCCTCTCAACTCTGGAATCAACCGAATCTCCTCTGCACCCCCTCCAGTGCTAGTATATCTCTTCTCAAGTAAGGAGACCAAAACTGCACACAGTACTCCAGGTGTGGCCTCACCAGGACCCTGTACAGCTGCAGCATAGCCTCCCTGTTTTTAAACTCCATCCCTCTAGCAATGACAGACAAAATACCATTTGCCTTTTTAATTATCTGCTGCACCTGCAATCCTACTTTTAGCGATTCATGCACAAGAACACCCAAGTCCCTTTGCACGGCAGCGTGCTGCAGTTTTTTACCATTTAAAACATAGTCCATTTTGCTGTTATTCCTACCAAAATGGATGACCTCACACTTATCAACATTGTACTCCATCTGCCAGACCTTTGCCCACTCACTTAGACTATCTATATCCCTCTGCAGACTTTCAGTGTCTTCTGAACACTTTGCTCTACCACTCACCTTAGTGTCATCTGCAAATTTTGACACACCACACTTAGTTCCCAACTCCAAATCATCTATGTAAATTGTAAATAATTGCGGTCCCAACACTGATCCCTGAGGCACACCACTAGCCACTGACCGCCAACCAGAAAAACACCCATTTACTCCTACTCTTTGCTTTCTACTGGTCAACCAATCCTCTATCCATGCCAATACATTACCTGTAATACCGTGCAACTTTATCTTATGTAGCAGCCTTTGGTGTGGCACCTTATCAAATGCTTCTGGAAATCCAGATATACCACGTCCATAGGATCCCCATTGTCCACCATGCAAGTAATGTCCTCAAAGAATTCCACCAAATTAGTTAAACATGACCTACCCTTCATGAACCCATGCTGGGTGTTCCCAATGGGACAATTTATATCCAGATGTCTTGCTATTTTTTCCTTAATGATAGATTCAAGCATTTTCCCCACTACCAAAGTTAAGCTAACTGGCCTATAGTTACCTGCTTTTTGTCTACTTCCTTTTTTAAACAGTGGCGTCACATTGGCTGTTTTCCAATCTGCGGGAACCACCCCAGAGTCCAGTGAATTTTGGTAAATAATTACTAGTGCATTTGCTATTTCCCCCATCACCTCTTTTAGTACCCTGGGATGCATTTCATCAGGGCCAGGAGACTTGTCTACCTTTAGCCCCATTAGCTTGCCCAGCACTGCCTCCTAGTGATAATGATAGTTTCTAGGTCCTCATCTGCTATAACCTTCTTGCTATTAGTTTTCGGCATATTATTTGTGTCTTCCACTGTGAAGACCGACACGAAATAACTGTTTAATGTCTCGGCTATTTCCTCATTCCCAGCAGGTGAAGGAGGTGGACAAAATCTTACAATAAACTATAGATGAGTTGAGAGATAGTAGGAACTGCAGATGCTGGAAAATCTGAGATAACAAGGTGTAGAGCTGGATGAACACAGCAGGCCAAGCAGCATCATAGGAGCAGGAAGGCTGACGTTTCGGGCCTAGATCCTTCATCAGAAATTTTTCTGAAAATCATTCAGAAATTTATTCAAAAATTCATTCATTTTTCTGATGAAGGGTCTAGGCCCGAAATGTCAGCCTTCCTG